AGAGACGTTACGCACGTTATTGCGTTAATGCGTCAACATCACACACCTCAATTATAAGCAAACCTGATAAAAAAGAGATAAGCTATATGATATATATATCGATAGCCTCTGGCCTTTGTTAGTCTTGTATCATTTTTAATTTTAGTTTCTTGTGTATAATTTGGAGTTTAGTATGACGTCCATTATCACTGAACTAGTCTACATATTTGTTAAGGGGCCAGTTGAAGGACGCCTCCTGGTGCGGGAGTTTCTCGCTGCATTGAAGACCCATTGGTGGCCTTCGGCTGTTGTCTGCTCTATGGTCGGGTTGTTGTCTCTTTGACACATTCCCCATTTTCATTCTCAATTTTATCAGTAGGTATTACCATTTCTAAAAATCTTTAAAACTAGATCTGATATCCTATTAATGGTAACCAATACAGACAGAACTATTATCAAACGTCAGAATTTGGCGTGTCAGACGTAACAGACCATATGCATGATTACCTTTAAAGGCGTGTTTGCGCTCTTCAGGAGTATGTGAAATTCTCGAAAATTTGCAGGAATGTTCTATGGCATATTTCATTTATTATTTTATAAGCGAAATGTTGCTGATTGAACGGCCGAACTATTTTTTGGCAAATATGAATAGTTTCAACCATTGTCAGATTTCAGAAAATGTTAATTTATCAAAATTAATGGGTTTTTAACATATAGTATAATATGTTATTTCGTTTTGATAAACGATGCTTATTAAAGTACATAGATAGATCATTTCAAAACTGGCTTTCTTACAACATTCACAACACACATATAAATGCAACAGTATTAAGTAAATGTCTTGTAAGCATGTCCAATGTCAAATTTCGGCGTTTTTTTACGGGTAAAGTGTCAGTTTCGACATCAATGGTTAAAATATTCGAGTCCAAGTATATAACATATTGCTTTTCCGTAATTGTACTTGAACGCTTTGAAACGATAACGTACTTTTTGATAGTTTCCTTACTCGATGAAAGCTCGTTTTTGAACAAATCAAATGTTTTGCAAGTTTGTCCACTCAACGATTTTCGTACACTTTGAACGTTGTCGGTTAGGAACGCTATCAATGTCTTTTAGAAATCAAATCGAAAGGTTTTCATATTACTTACTTACACGTTTTTTGGTAAATATACGCAATTTTTGGTGTCTGTGACTGTGTATTTGTATTTCTTAGATGCTTTTAAAATAAAAAGTACTATTCAACCTCATCAATTCTAAGATGAGAGAACAAAACAGAATTAAATACTCTCATAAGTTATATGCAAATGAAAGAAACGAAAATAACATTTATTATTTTATAAATGAACCTATCTGAATAAACTATATTACAATTTGTTAATTAATAAATATTCATGATAATTATTTCAAAACGCGATTATTATCCACACACTATATATACATTATGTGTGGAACTTAAAAATGACACCAATACTGTTATACCTGATTTTGATATTATATAAGTCTGTAACTATATTAGAATAATACACTCATATTTTTCCAACAATAATAATTCTTATCCTTTAAAATTTAATATACCAGTTATTAAGATTGGTGAAGTGTTGATTATTTAATCGTAGTTAACTTTTTAAGTATGACTCGCTTCACTTGTAACTAACACTTCAATGCTTCATTTAAATTAAAATTGGAGACCGACTTCTTCTTTTCGAAAATAAATAGGAGATCATTGAATTTAAAAGTACATGGCATACCCTTTTATCTTACTCACACACTTAGAAGTATCAATATTGATAACAAACAACTTTGCCTTGAAAAAAAAGAACAGAAAAGAAAAAATAAAACTGGATTATTGGTTGAAAATGTCAAATTACGTCATTACCGATTGAGACGCAGTACCTTGCATAACATCAGACCGGACGTGGCAGGGTAATTATACATCCCTAACAACAAAAAAAAGACAGATCGGAGAGTACTCGCAGTTACTGACAGCTAGTCAACCATAACAACTAATAAGAAAATCATGTATCTATGACTAAAAAATCACTCAGAACACATCCAACATCCAATATTATGTTCTTGTTCTGTAAATTTAGTATTATGAAATGTTGATATTCGAAAAACTTAGGTTTGGTTCCCCCATGTACACACTGCCTTAGTCGTATTAGGCACAACGTTTCGTAATTTTATATTTGTAATGCTCTTTTACTTTGTATTCGATTTGGCCTTCTAATTGTTATCATTCAAGTGTCACTGACGAGTCTTACGTGGACGAAACGCACGTCTGGTGTACTAAATTATTAGCCTGGTGTCATTGGTGAGTTATTAATATCTCTTCAGTGATGCTCTAGGCAAAAATACTTGAAAGTCCTAAACTTAATACAAACGTCGGATGAGAAAATAAAACGAAAGGCAAAAAGTAAAGCAAAACCCAGACAAAGAATCAGAGCTTTGCATGAGGGTGATACATGTCTTAATCAAAATGATTTTAAAACTGTTTAACAGGAACTTTCAATAAAACAATATCCTTATGTTCATGTCAGTACCAAAGTACTGGTTACTGGGCCGGTTATACTCTTGGGACTCATGTTCGAAACACTAAGGTTTGTCTCCCCAGGTATAGATTGCAATTGTCGTATTTGGTACAACTTTTCTTAATTGTTTATTTTCAATGCTCTTTAAAACTTCATATTCGATTAAGCCTACTAACTATTATGATTCGAGTGCCACAGACGTGTCTATGTAGACGACACGCGCGTCTGATGAACAAAAATATTAGCCTGGTATCATTGATGAGTTATTGATGTCTCTTCAGTGATGCGTGGCACAAACATTTGAAAGTCATAAACTTAATACAAACGTCGGAAAAATATAAAACAATAAAAGGGCTAATAGTTAAGCAAAACCCAGACAAGGAATAGAACTTTGCATGCCGGAGATACATTCTTTAATTAAAAATGATTTACAAGATTGTATAACAGCAACTTTCAATAAAACAATATCTAAATGTCCATGTCAATACCAAAGCACTAGCTACTGGGCTGGTAATACTCTCGGGACCAACAGTCCACCAGCAGCGGTATCAACCCAGTGGTAGTAATAACATTAACGGTACGAATTTAACTACACCAGATGCGAAGTTTTATTATTAATGTCACTTAAGTGATGTTCGAGACAAACATGTTTGAAAGTTTAAAACTTAAAACAAACATTGGAAGATTATTATCGTTCATTTGGAAGGTAGGCTGAGGAAGAAACAAGATGAAATTCATGGTACCAATTGATCATTATGCTCTGCAAGGAAAGAATTTTATTCTGTGTACTTCAAATCGAACTGTACAGCAATGCGTTGGTATATAAAGTGAAAGTTTCACACCTGAACTTCTTACAGGATACTGAACAAAGAGCAGAAAATACAGTCGCATACGACCGAATGGGTCAAATTCTGGCTACATCAAAGTCAGTATGTTTTGTGTCCCACGTGTGTGGGTAACACTGTTCTACATCTCCTTCACATGAATCGAGTTAATTTTTTTGTTCGGACCTGATGTGTCCTTTGCCACGTTTTAAAAGGTTGGTCAAATGATTGTGGTGGTGTACGCGTCTATCTAGTCCTTTCAAGATGTTCCATGGGGTTCAAATCCAACGCTATTTAAGGCAATAGTAATACATTAACGTTGTTATAACTTCTCTATAACGTTGATCCCTTAAACTTCATTGGACACGCACTAGTGTTGTTCACATAATGACGCTTCCATCGCTTGTAAAAACAAAAAGTGCAAAAACTAAAATTGTCGGTTTACTCTGTAAAGGCGTTATTGTCTTTATATTACAAATGTTAAATTCATTTCTATATTTTCTTTAAACTTTAATAGATAGAGCGAAAACAGAAAACATTTCAGCTAGATAAGATAACAAACCTGCGAGGTAAATACTCTTATCAAATTGTAATTTGAAATTTCCTTCATGGATTTATGTTGCTCAGTTTATAACATGCTGGTATCTATGATGAGTTTATTTATAGTCTTCCAAGTACTGTTTTGTGAATTTTTGTAAATCCGTTTTTATTCTACCATGGTGTTGTATGTTTCTTTTGTAGTTATGAGTTTTTATTGTCCCCTTGCTATTTTCATTTTTTCACGATTGTTCGATTGATTGATGGTTGATGCCAGGTTAGCGAACATGGTCCATGAAGTTGTGAGTATACTTTTGTCAATATAGCATAATTGAAATTAAGACAAAAGACCCATCACATAGATGGAAATGTTATTTCAAATAATATTACTATTTGTATTAACCAAATAGTATATGAAAATTAAATGTTTTCGTAATTTCTGTCCATTACATCAAATCTGTGAGATAAACAACTCGTACCAAATTGTATCTAAATTTAAACATAGAGAGCGTTAAACGTGTAAATACTACACTAGCTGTCTCGGGATGTCTAAACCTTCGGAAATATTGTTAAACATACAGGATTTCTGGTAATTCACATGAAGGGACAGACATTACAGTATGAAAGAAAATTATGATAAGTACAAATTTCTTAGCCAGTGGCTAGTAATGGTGTCATCCGAAACAAAACACTCGGCAAATTGAACTATAACTCAACATTACACACTTATAAACCAAAATCAGCTCAACATAAAACGGTATAATGAAAAAAAAGCCTAGATAGCATTGTGATATCAAAGAGAGGCGAAAAATACAAAAGGGACACTCAAACTCATAAGTCGAAAATAAACTGACAATGCCATGGCAAAATACTCAAAGGACCAAAAGACAATCAACAATATAAAAACACAACATATAAAACTCATGACTGAGCAACATGAACCCCACCAAAAACCGGGGGTGATCTCAGGTGCTCAGGAAGGGTAAGCATGAACAACACTGTATGTCTGTATGTGCAGTACTTTCAGAGATTTTTGTTATACCTTTTTATATATTATGGCTGCCAACTGAGTGGCGGGAACATAATTAAACGATAATTATAGCCACTCATTGGTGGTGACATACATTACTAGTATCTGTAATATTAATTTAATTCAAAAAGAGTAATATGAGGGAAAAGATGCAATGAAAAGGCTCACAGGGAACCTCTAAATATAATAGTTTGATATGGTTATTAGATGTTCATTTAGATCGCAATTGTGAAGACAATACTCATGCAATCGTCAGTTGAAAATATACAACGATCTCTATAAAAAATGTATCCATATCAGTAGAATCGTTTACACCACTTAAGGTTCTGTAATTTCTAATGATAAAACTATTTCGCACTCGACATGTGATTTATCTAGATGTGATGTCTCTTAACATTTGTATTTTATTCTTTCTACAGCAACAGTACCAGCAACTGCAATGGAAAAGAAAAAAACATCATTCATTTATTCATTCATACTTATGTCTCTAAAACAGCTAAATCTCATTTTATGCATGAATGAACGAAATAAAAGGAAAAGTAGTGTATACTTCAACAGGACTGCATCTCGAAGATACAATAAATAGACCTGTAGAGATTAACATATGACCTTCAATAGTAGACCATTGTCTATACACTATGTCAATCACGAAGTTGCACTTGGACAGATGTAAATGAATTCAACTATTGCTATAAACACTAGATTCTTAAAATAAAAAAAAATTAAAGTTGGACTAATAACACTTTAACCTTTATTTCCAGGTAGTCTCCTGGTCGTTGGTGCAAATTCTTAAAGGGTATTCACAGGTACAAGTATATATACTGAATACAGGTGGGGGTAATACCACCGCCAAAAACAATGACGTCACTAGTGGTTAATATGTTTGTTAAAATAGTACACGAACAAACAAATTGCAAAACAAATTGTTCTTCGTAAAAAGATTACAGTTCAGGAATAGAAAGACGTCATTCTATGTCTAAGTTTATAACCAACTGGTGACATTTAAAGTGAACCGACTTCAAAGCTCAAACAGAAATTGGACTGAATTTTCGTTCAATCTAAATTATGTTAATTTTGATTTGGCCTTTTAACTTTTTTTATTAAACCGTCACTAATGAGTCTTTTGTAGACGAAACGATCGGCTGGCGTTAAAAATTGTATGCCTGGTATGCTCTGAATTTAAAGAGTGTTATCTTTGATGAGTTAGTTCAACCAGTTGTGGCATCGATAGACAGCTTTTGTGTGACTTATCATTTATGCACTATTTTCTGTAAATTTACTGCTCATACAATGTTAAAATCATTCGAAACACTCAGTTTTTTTTTCTACCGAATTAGCATCTATGGCATTATCCAGATTTGGCACATTTAGATTGTATTGTTATTTTCGTCGCTCTTCTCATTTGTAAATGATTTGGATTTCCAACACTCTTGATTCCAGCGCCACTTATGAGTCTTAAAAACGCGCGACTGCCGTAACTTTATTGTAAGCCCGGTATCTAAGATGAGTTATTTATAGGTAATATTATGTCAGTTCTTATAGTTCTGTGTTTATATTTGAATGTTGGTCATGTAGACTGAAATACCTACATTTCGTATTAAATAGGTATGTTAATCCAAGTTCCATTGTTTTACATCCTACCGACAATGACAATTTTTGATGTCTTATGTGTAGATAATTCAAAAGTATAACTTTCCTGGGTTTGACTTAAACCAAAGATAACTTACAGAAGTTTACCGATGTTCAATCTCGTAAATCGATTGTAGACAAACCAAGACAACAAACAAAAACTGAGTAAATCACATGAACCCCAAAAGGAGCGTGACCGGGTGCGTCGACAGGGTGAGCGTCACCTGCTGTACTTATATCTTAGTTTTACTTAACATCCTATCTCCTCGTATTGCTCCATCATTTCAAGTCTGAGATTCTCTCTATGATATCTGAGTACTAATCGAACGACTTGTCTGTCTTATTTATAATCGGCATATTCCGAATGAAGGTAACTTGGATTACGGATTTATAGTTTTGTTCAATCTTTAGTGTACTACAAAATGATTTTGTTTAGTGGGTTTATTTTTTCTTGGATAAGGTATCAATAGTCTATCTTTGACGTACAGTTTATGATTGTCACCTTCCTTATTCCCTTCATTAATCGATTATATCAAGTCTGCAATCTTTTGTTATCAAAATTTTGTCGGACAAAAAAAAAGAAAGTTGACAGATTTTAAAATTATATACAAAAAATCGGCTCTATAACAAGGGATTTTCTTTGCGTTACATGTTCTCTTCATTAAGTGACAATATCATCATATTTCCTAAGGATATTGGAAATTTTCATCAGAAGTACTATACTAGTACCTTATATATATTTCTACTCCGGACTGCGGGATCATATGTACGGCTTATCCGTACCTTTGTAACTGTGATTCCCTGATTACATATGTAGGACTCAAATCTATGGTGGGTTCCAGGTCTATGGCAGATTTCAAATCTATGGCAAAGGTGTCGTCACAAACGCCATACAAATCATAAATCTATGGCGGTTTTGTTTTTTTTTTCAAATCTATGGCAGATTTTCAAATTGCGTAATATTCCGGAAAAGAGTAAACGATAACGCGGCTATTCTTATCTACAGCATTTCCCAGCTATATTACAGCGACTACCTCTACTATTGTAGTAAATAATCTTTCTTAAAATTTAAAACCAAAAAAATATCTATCATAGATTAGCAATAACTATCTGCATCATTTTCAGCTATATTAATGTCGAATACCTAAACTGTTGGAGAAAGTAGGATTTCTTGAGGAAGCCATTCGTTTAGGCAAGTCATTGGTCAGATATGTAAAAAAAAATCTGCCATGGATTTCAAAACTATAAAATTCGCCATAGATTAGGAAACTATAAAATTTGCCATAGATTTGAGATTCTAAAATTTCTGCCATAGATTTGGGATGGCATGTCGTCATTTACCATATATTTGGAATCTGCCATAGATCTGGAACCCGCCATGGATGTGAGTCTTACAGATATGCGTTGACATTCTTGTTCTGTTCACAACATGTCTAAGTCTATCTATGCCTGGGTAGAAAAAACCTGAGCGTTCCTGAATTAATTCAGAGCCATATAATTCATTCTGTCCATTAGAAGCATTTTATATATCTGGTTAACCAGTCTTTTGTATTGTTACTTCTTGAAACCCTCAATTCCATAATTCATTGTCTTTAAGGAAAAGTATTTAATACTTGATGAATATGCTCATGTTATTTTATTGATGTTTTGATTAGTTGGTCTCATTACATTTATGCTTTAGTTTTTATGCGTAGCAAAATACCAGCTCCATTGTGATGGTGACCAATTTAGGTTTACGCCTTATCCTTATATTACATATTAGTATACTAATTCAGACTTAGCCTTAATCCTACTATATTACGCTTAGAATACCTTTTTTCCTCTAACTCCTCGATTTCCTCTGGTCTGAGATTTCTTCTCTCGTGTCTGGGCGTAGGTAACTGCTTGTCAGACTGGGCTCTTTTAAATGCATGATGCCACATTCTTAAAAAAAAATCAACAACTTCATTAATGATGAATATATTTTCTTTCAGAATTTACTGTGCTAAGATGTATATTTCAGAAAACCAAACTTCTTCGTTCATGTATGATGCCTTAACTAAGACTCTGTTTGTTGTATGATACTGACTCATTTAGTTATGAGTAGGGGAGGTAAACCAAGAAAACTATTTCCACGTTTTAACTTTTTAATTCATATTAGCCAAACATGCATTGTTGTATGTGTAGTCACTTGTTTAATCATAACTTATATGGTAAATAGGTTTGCAATCCCCACTAGTCAAAATGGCACAATCGGGAATCGGACACAACCCGAAATAGAACACAATCGGTATAAGTGCAGATCATCCAACTTTTCTAGTATTTAAAGATCTAAAACTGCTAAAAAAAATGTCGTAAGAGAGCTGAGACACAGACAAATCGTATCGGTAAACCATTTCGTAATGGTGACCGTAAAAATTATGTAGGGTCGATTTCAATCGTTCTTCCCAATAACTCTGACGAGTTTTTGTGTGTCAATAGGGTATGTACGTAAACATGTATCTATTATGTACTTGTATCATTTGGAAAATGTTGCACATTAAATTTGAATTTACGAGCATGACGTTAAGTCGGATGGAAATATTGTAGTAACAAAGGCTAGTTTGAAGGATTTTATTGATATGAAAGCTCGGCCAGCTCACTCACAAACTGAATAAAGTCTGAATTATAGACTAAATGTTTATAAGTTTGTGGGTGAAATGACAATTGTGCATACATCTGTAAACTCCACAATCATTATGCCCCCGTCGAAGCGGAGGGGGCATTAAGTTTTACTCTTGTCCGTCCGTACGTACGTCCGTACGTCCCAAAATTGGTTTCCGTTCTCTAACTTAAGTTCTCTAACCAAATGTTATCAAAATACACAATGTTTACTACCACAAAACACAGATCTACTTTGAATGTTGGCGGCGTCACTTTAACCGTTCTAGAGTTATGCCGTTTATAAATGGAAAAATTGCAAAAATTTTCATTTCCGTTCTCTAACTTAAGTTTGCCTCATCCAAATGTTATGACACTTATACACAATGCTTATTACCACAATACACAGATCAAGTTTGAATTTTGGTGGCGCCACTTTAACCGTTCTAGAGTTATGCTCTTTTATAAATGGAAAAATTGCAAAATTTTTCATTTCCGTTTTATAACTTAAGTTTGCCTCATTCAAATGTTATGAAACTTATACACAATGCTTATTACCACAATACACAGATCAAGTTTGAATTGTGGGGGCGTCACTTTTACTGTTCTAGAGTTTACAAATGGAAAAATTCCTAAATTTTTCATTTTTTTCCCAAAAATATCAATGTCATTATTCAAGTAATTTTTAAATTTGGAGTTATCTTCCTTTGTCCATGATTATAATTAAATCAACTACAATCAATGATTTATACAATGCAATGTTTATTTTTGCCTTCCACTGATAAAACACAGATCAAGTTGAATTTGGGTAGTGTCACTTTAACCATTATTGAGTTATGCCCCTTTATAAATCGAAAAATTCTGAAACTTAAGTTTGCCCCAACCAAACATTATGAAACCTATACACTATATTAATTACCACAAAACTAAGATCAAGTGCAAATATTGTTTCCGTTCTTTAACTTTAGTTTGCCTAAACCAAATGTTATGAAACTTATACATAATGCTTATTACTAAATAATACAGATTAAGTACGAAATTCGGTGGCGTCACTTTTACCATTCTTGAGTTATGTCCCTTTATAAACATAAAAATTGCTGAATTTTTCGTTTCCGTTCTCTAACTTTAGTTTGTCTCAACCAAATGTTGTAAATCTTATACACAACCGTTCTAGAGTTCTGCGTGTTTACAAATAGAAAAATAGCTGAATTTTTCGTTACTGTTCTCTTCTTAAGTTTGCCTCAACCAAATGTTATGAAACTTACACACAATGCTTATTACCACAAAACTCAGATCAAGTTCAAATTTGGGTAGTGTCACTTTTACCGTTCTTCAGTTATGTCCCTTTATAACTATATAATATGCAAGCGGGAGCATCATCTGTGTCCACATGTGGACACAATCCACTTTTTTTTTTATTTCAATAAAATGCACTAAAGAGCCAGTTAAACCTCTCATCCAGACTTGCACCACTATTTCGCTTGTGTGAAATTAAACTGGAGACATCATGAAACGGGGTTATACGTGCATAAACTTGTTGGTACCAAAACGCTCACTATGAAATAAGACGTATTATATAAGATTCCAATGCCTAAGCTTTATTTTATATTTTTCTGACATATTCTGTTTTATGGGTTTATAAGAGTTTCTTTAAACAAACCTTGATTGGTCAGGATCAGCTGCGCACAATTTAAGTGTCCTGTCACCAATTAGGACTATTTCCATTAAGCACCCTGTGTCTATATCCTTAGGAGGCAGCATTGTTTTGCACTAAAAAATAAGAAATAATTTCTCAATAGATTTTAATGCTATGTATTTCAATAGTGTATCAGTAATAGTTATACACCGATGGATAGGTGTGTCTGGAACAACATACACTCCCTTTTTGAGGGGGGGGGGGGGGGGGGGGGAGGGGGTCCGTGAGTTAGAATCCCCGTTTTTTTTTAAGAGACATATGACTGGGATAAAAAAATTCTACCTACAAGGAGTATTTAAAGGATTTTTTTCTTTATTCAAAATGCTAAATATTTTTTCGCTATTGAAATTTCCTTAAATGTTTTTTTTTAATATCTTGTAGTGAACACTATTTGTAATTTCTTATGTTCATGCTATTTAAAAAGAAATCAATTTCTATTGTTATGAATAACAATGGACTGTGTTTACGGGATGTAGGAGCAGGGTTTTCCAGAAACCCCGCTCGTCACACCCTGTGGTCAAAATCCATTGTTATTCGTAACAATAGATGTATTCAATTTACACTTGTTTCAGAAATAGAAACTGTGAAGTATAACAATAGAACTGGGGTGTAAGAAATAGAAACTGTGAAGTATAACAATAGAACTGGGGTGTAAGAAATAGAAACTGTGAAGTATAACAATAGAACTGGGGTGTAAGAAATAGAAACTGTGAAGTATAACAATAGGACTGGGGTGTAATAAAAATTAACCCATTTCTCTGACGTCATTCTATTGTTCTTACAGTGGATTATTTTTCAAGAATCCACTGACCACTTCGTTAACTTAAGATAACTTATTTTATAACTTTAAACTTTTAACTTACGATTTTTTATCCTCTCAAAAACGAGTGGCATATGAAGGGTTCGAACTCGCGCGTATTTTCTTCATAATCAGTAGATTCTTCAGTCTATGCATGATACCACTATACCACGAGTGCTCACATAAATCAGTATTTAAATAACACTCTTAAAGCGCACAACTGTCAATACATGTCAATCAACTGTATTTCTATCTCAGAGATAATTCGCTTTTGTTATCTAATAAAATATATATACTATGTCTGGATTTGTTCATGTTCTTTTCAAATTTATTCATATCACGTCAACATTGAACGGACTCTAATTTGAGTAAAGTGTGATATATAAGCTACGACCGTAAAACTACTTCTTTGACTGTAAAACCAGAAACAAAATCATCGCCTTTAAATGAAAATGAAGTGTATAATACCTCTAAGATTAAAACTATTTTTATCGAGAAAAAAATTACAATGAAAAAATTTCACTCCGGATACAAGGTTCGAACTTTGCACTGTTAATATCACCGTTATGACATTCGTTACCAACGACTAGACGATCACAGCTATGAACAGCTTGATGGTAAGTTTATGAAATCAAGATAATTATTCATTGTACATCCGTAGCAAGAGCAATTCTGATGGGGATTCAGAATGCGTACCTCAGATAAAACTAGTTTATTTACCGGTGAACGATATATGCCAAATGTAATAACGTTAAAATAATCGTAATTTAATGAAACGGAAACAGTTTAAACAGATTTGAATATAATTGTTCAATTTAAATCGTAAGAACATAATTTTAATACTTTAGGAAAGCAACATGAATTTGAGCATTATGAAATTGCAGATTTATGGCATCTACCTTATCAATATTTCTTTGACTAAGAACGGCTTAACGGTGTTTAGTCTTCAATTAACCAAATCATGTTGCTAAATATTATATATATATATTTTGAAGGTTCTAAATTTTGGTAATTAAATTTTTTTAACTTTTCAAAACAAGATAAATACATTCTGTATATTAATATATGTCTTTTTGAATAAATTAAATATACCAAAATCTATTCAATATAAATAATTTGTAATGATTAAACATTAAATGAAATATGTATATACAAAACTAAAATCTGGTGTTAAAAAGGGGAGCTAACACCCCATTTAAGTTATCTTAACTTGTCAAATGTCTAATTATAGATGCGAACCGTGTGGATATAATCATTTCCAGCTATTATAGAATAAAAAAGACAAAATACTAAACTATTTTTATGAAATATCGTTGATTCATTGTCAAAACGTAAAACAGACAGTCGTTTTAATAGAAATGGGTGAAGCTAGAGAATTGATAAGAAGTAGTGGATTCGGAAACGATAATCAACTTGCGACTAAAGTCGCTCGTTGATTATCGTTTACGAATCCACTACTTCTTATCAATTCTCTACTACAGAACATATGTCTATTTTATATATCAATGGAAGCTTTTGGTCTACAATTAAAAGAAAATGGTGTAATATTAGTTACCTTGGTGTAATCAGGGGTGTACAGAATTTTACACCGTTGTTGAAAATTCATACACCCTGAGGCGCAGCCGAATGGGTGTATGAATTTTCAACAACGGTGTAAAATTCCGTACACCCATGATTACACCAAGATAACGAATTTATTTCTTATGAACAATTCCTTTACTCATTTTTAAACCAGGATGTAAAATTGAAAAATGGTAATGAAAAATTTCCAGTGTAACATTTTTTCAACGTCCATGTTGCTGCGCATTGTCAAATACTTTTTTTCTTTATTTTTGGGAAATTCAGAAAATTTTAGTGTTCTTTTGAATTTTGGGGAAAAAAAATTTTAAATATTTTTTTTATTTTTTTTTTCAATTTTTGTCCTCAAATTTAATTTTTTTTTTTTTTTTTTATTTTGGCAAAATTTTATTTTTTAAATTTTTTGGCAAAATTTTATATCCCGGGGTGAACAAAAGTGGGGTGTTATTTACACCGGGGTAATTAACCAATCAGATTGCAGTATTTTTGCTGCATAAGAAATAATCGCTATTACACTGCAATCTTTCATATCATTCACATTACGAAGGGAGTAATTTACATAAGAATATTGGTTGGCGCTGAGTTTTGAATTCGTCCTTGTTGATATATAACATTTGTTCAACTGCGACAAGAAAAATGTAGGGTTTAAAGCGCTAACAGAGAATTAACATATCCAGGAGTCTCCTTTGATGGATACCATACTCCATTTCTCCTTTTATTCATCTTCATCTTTTCTTTAACCGTATATACCTTATTATAAACAAGGCATGAATAATGTCTTAAAGGTAGTTCATAACGATTGTTATTAGTTAAAACATTGCCAGAGTCTGTATTTGATTCTACCTGAGTGGCCGTTGTTGACATTTTGATCGCAAGTCATAGCTTCTAACTGTTAATGAAATTGTCAATATTGGTCCTGATAAGTTTTCTTATTTTCTGATGTAATGTAGTGACCTTTAAGCATAAACTGTAAATCATTCCCATGCTGAGAAACATTTACTTTTAATAACATGTATGAATGTCAATATTATATGACGAAATATCTCAACAGTGTAAGTGCTCTTTTGACGTATAAGTCGGTGGAGTAGCTTCCCTTGAGGCAATAAGGCAACTGCCTCATCAAAGTTTTGACCAAGAAAAAAACCATGATGGAGAAGGACAAAGTTAGATAGAATATACGTGCATACCAGTGTGAAAATGGTTCCAAATATTAGAAATATTTACCCTTTACACGCTTATTCCTTCTCACTGACTTAAAGACAGGACAAAAGAAAGTACCCCTTTTTACATAAGTTTTAAACGCAGATAAAATTGAGAATATAAATGGGGAATATGTCAAAGAGACAACAACCTGACAAAAGAGCAGACAACAGCCGAAGGCCACCAATGGGTCATCAACGCAGCGAGAAAATCCCGCACCCGGAGGTGGTCCTCAGCTGGTCCCTAAATAAAATTGTGTACTAGTTCAGTGAAAATGGACAGCACACTAAACTCCAAAACATATAAATGAACTAAAATTAAAAAAAACATACAAGACAAACAAAGGCCAGAGGCTCCTGACTTGGGACAGGCGGAAAAATGCGGCGGGGTTAAACATGTTTTGTGAGATCTCAACCCCCCCCCCCCTAATACCTCTAGCCAATGTAGAATAAAGAAACACATAGCAATACGCACAGTAAAACCCAGTTCAAAAGAAGTCCGAGTCCGATGTCAGAATAGGTAACAAAAGAAACTAAGCAAAATGACAATGATACATAAATGAACAAAGGACTACTAGCAGTTAATGACATGCCAGCTCCAGACCTCAATTAAACTGATTGAAAGATTATGTCTTCATCATATGAAAATCAAGTACAATCCCTCCCGTAAGGGGTTTAGTATCATATCATCATAAAATATATGAGAAGAACATAACCCGTATCATGCCAATAACTAGCTTTAGAATAAATGTGTTTATTTCCGATGCAAATACCCTATGAGTGAATCAATATTAATACCAACAAGTCTAAATAGAAAACAACGTTCAAACCTATGATTGCGTTGGATGAAAACCGCAATTTTTATACGTGTGCATGCAAAACAAATTTCTTGATAGAGGGGTCTAATTACAGCACAAACAACATTTTCCAAAAGACCTAAAAAGTGAAAAAGTATATTTTAACAAAACGCATTTGACTAACAGGTCGAACAACAGATGTTCTTAAACCCTGCTGACTGCCATTGGCGATTGCCAAATAAACGGATCACAAGATGTTACAAAATGGATCTTTTAAAATTATTAATTTAATACCAAACAGAAAACAATAAACTTGCGGAAAAGATGGTATTCCGCAAACAAAAGGTGCAAAAATTAGTACACCATATCCGGATTTCGACAATTAATGTCTCTTCAGTGATGTTGGGGATCGAAACGGTATTTGGATTGCCATATAATTTACCTCAATTTAGGATAGATTCTTGAATTTTGAAGAGTCGAAATATTAGAAATAAGATGAACGGATCATATAAACCCGAAGGAAAATATAATACAAGCCTAAACGAAAAAATATAAACAAGTCTAAATTGAAAACAACGTTCAAACCTATGATTGCGTTGGATAAAAACCGCAATTTTTATACGTGTGCATGCAAAACAAATTTCTTGATAGAGGGGTCTAAATATTAATATCAATATATATATATATCTTGTTTGTAGGAACAGGCAAATTATACTTTGTAAAAAAAGCCCTATTGCAAACAAGATATTCGAACTTTAAAATAACATGATGCTTGATTTGTTTTATTGACAACATAATTATATGCTATTTTGATGAACTTATTTTTTAACTAAAATTTGGCATTCCATGGGAACCAATTGTGATCTTCTTCGCGACGCAATGTTTCTATAATCATATGATGCAGTTATAATATATTCATGTGTATATAGTTACAAGTCATATTCATTTCTCTTTTTTGTCAATATATAATTTTAACCCATTGCAAATACTTGGTATGTAATCTTTCATGATTATGAATATCTAGTTAATTCATTTTCTATCCTCAATAGAAATGATCCCGAAGGTTTAATGGGGTTTTGAAATATGGTCATCCCTGAACTCACCAATGCAATGCGAAGCAACGTCCAGTCGGAATTGAGGCGTTAAGTCCTTTACCTCGTGTAGGGAGAGTGCCACACTCTCTTCTCGTTTCAGAACACTTGCAAGAACTCTTTGAATTGTCCGCAATTGAACTTTTGCAAGGCAAAATTATTTACCATGTCTAAAATGCAACTATTTTCAAGTGGCATCTTAGTCGACCTACTCTGCAGAACATATCTATGAATTAATGTCAATTTGTTTTCGTCCTGAATATTAATGAAATATTTGTCACTGGACGTTAAACAACAATCAACATAGCCTGTGTAAAATCGTCTTTTTGTATCTGAAAGTCACACTATGGTCTTTAAAGCGCGATGAGGCCTTGACTCCCACACCTCAAACTGTTTGCCTCACTAGAAATATGGATCAAGCTACGCCAATGATATCGTGGTTTCGTTTAAACTTACTATTTGTCGAGTTTACATTTTAATTATATTTATACTGTGGAATATCGAGTTTCTATTTCAATACATGTTTGTTTTTCAACAAACTTTTTTATATGTATTGTCGAAATGAAGAGATACTATGTCGTAGATGATTATACTGACATAACGAGATACGATACCATTTGTCGTAGATAATCCTACTGACATAACAAGATAACAAGATTGACAATATTGTTACTTTGTCAAAATGTGTAACCTTGAGGCAATATATCTCGCGGTAGCATTTCATTATTCACTTAAATAGTACATGTTGACTTGCAATTAATTCTTTAACTTGGCTGATTTGAAAAGACTCGATCGAAAAGATGGCATAAATGTAAAAATAAATATAAGTTGACATACCGTTATGTCTGATATTTCTTTCGGTAGACCAGTACTATAGGTATATGTATTACCTGTTTCCCGGCTTTTATTGCGATACAATCATTTTTAACGTCAAAAGATTTCTGTGGACGTGATGCATTTCTGTTCCTGTAATACCTCACTGAACCACCTAAACACACTACCAACCAAGTACGCCTCCATTTCTTGAAAAACGTCCCTAGAAAAGAATGTGTATTTAGCTAGTGACATAGCTTATGTTGAGGCAACCAAAACAGTTGCCTCGATAATGACATAAAAATAAAAATGAAAGAATTGATCCTCTCCCTTATGAATGATTTTTACAGTTTCCGCTGCAGACTCTAGCTAGTCGTATAACTCACACTCATTATAAACAGCTACGGAGATACATGAAATGTATTAACCGGATTTGTTTTACCATTTTTATGGATTTAAAAAAAAACTTCATTTTACGGTAATTACGAACTTCAGAAGGACGACCTTGATGAAGTCCTAAGTTATGCTATCCATGAGAACTAATTTCGGGATACCTAAGTCATCCCTGGTTCGTTATGCTCATGATTTAGTCTGGTTTGAATAGTTTTGTGGGTTTTTTTTTTTGTTTCACTTTGTCTTTACGACTTTTTTCCTTTTGTCATGGCGTTGTCTGCTTTTCTTCGACTTCTTGTTTTTGGATTGCCCCCTTTGCCCCCATGTGTATTGTCTCTAGGTTTTAAAAAGTTTTAGAGTCGAAGAAAAGAATGACAGACTTGTGTCATTCTTCGCTGAGCAAGGTCAGCAAAACAGATGATATTGTTAAACCACTACCCCAATATCCACCCATACAGAAGTGGTTTGCTATCCGGCAACAAATTACAAACACTGACAAAGGCCATATGTTGTGCTGAAATATAAGTCTTTGTATGCGTACGATTCAATTTTATCGTTTTCGTTTATATCTTTTATTAATAATATTATATTGTGTGACGAATCCATAGTTGAAAACAAATATATACTATATTTAAATAGAGATTCGCAGAAATACACTGGAAGTGTTACTAGTTTTGAAAATGAACAAATACCTCTGGAGTTATACAATAACGTAACTGACCTTTGGAAAGTGTCGTATATAAAGTCTTAACTGTTTCACTTTCTCCCATAGAGCTAGTGTGAGCTAAGTACTGTTACCACCTGCTTTGATGCGGTAATCATATGAACATATTTTTTCCTGTGAACACTGTCGTACATAATGAAACCGAAACTGGTAGCGACAAGGTAAACAAGTTTATTTGTCAAAGTTTATTTTTTAAAGAAAGATGAACATTTTGTTAAAAATAATATTCGATGAAAATTGTTATGTTGTACATTAATTTACCGAACAGTTATTTTTTAAAACTGAACATTTTGTCATAATTTGTTGGCTGCAAAAACTATAGTTTTTGTTTTCTAATTATCATACAGTGGGTCATTTTCAAAAAATGTCGAATTTTCAGTACACCCATGCTAATTTTTTTTATTTCTAATGGAAATTTCAGTTGTAATTGTTTAAATGAAAGCTTGTAGGATTTATGATTCAGAACATTAATAATAAACACTATTTACATCTATTTTCATAAGATTACAATGTATTTAAGTCCGATTTTTGGGTAATTTGTGTGCGTACAGTTTCAGAAAAACACATTTCAAATGATTTTTTTCCGATTTTCTGATCGCCTTGATATCTGCAAAAGGGACTTTTTAAGAACGTTAATAATTACTCTAACGAAAAATCGTAGCTTCTTTATCATTATATGTAACATTTTATCTACAAACTTAATTCAATCCGCGTACATGAAGTTCATGTCCATCCTGTTACCGCTACTTAAATCAGCCGTTAAATTATTCTCCCTATGAATATTGAATTAGTCAGTGTTGATTTCAAAAGTGCAAAGTAACCTTTATATTTAATACAGCACGTTTCTTGAAGAAATTTCAAGACATTTAGTGAAAAAAAATAGAGGGTACTTTTTTTCATGTCTATGCTGTTACCAACAATTTTGATTAATTACACCAAAAGTATACTTGTAAAAAGTGCAATAACGTGTTGGAAACCAAATTCACAACAGAAAAACATTATCACCTCACCAAAGGGAGTAGTTATTTCACAACAGCATTCGAAAATGAAGAAATTTGTCTATCCTGTTATGTCTATCCTGTTACTATGGTTGCTATGGTTACAGTAACAGGATAGACAATTGTAGACAGAAACGTCGTTAAAAAGTTTATCATAACATATAGTTGCAAACAGAATGAAATCTTTCGTTGTTTGAACTCATCTTAAGGTTATAACGTCTTAATCTTCCCAATTTAGCATTTGCAGGTGCAATACTGATATCGGTAACAGGATAGACAAAAAGGTAACAGGATAGAACTTTATATAGTGATATATCATTAACGTACGTTCCTGTTACCAATGAAATAAAGACAAAAGTAAACTAACATGTGAGGGATTTACTTGATGTTGGGTTTATTTGAAAGAGAGAAAAAATGCCGAACAATATGAATTGCTATCTTAGACTTGCATTACTGGTGGTAATTTTTACAACCTTTGAAAACCAATTTTTAGAGGCATTTTTCAGTACAACCTGGAAAATTGGCAAATAATCTATTATTTCACAAAATGAATATATATAGAAGTTTATTCTCTTGAAAACCATCTAATTGGCTACGAAAAACAAGCTTAAAATTTTATCTAAACCTTTTCTTAATAACCCAAAATTTCTTTTGAAAATGGTAACAGGAGAGACAAAATATTGTACCACCTATCGAAAAATGTTTCAAGATATTCTTGTATGACATTATTAAGATTGCATCTTTTAATATGTTGTTCTATAAGTACTGTTTGTTTTGATTTGCTTATGTAGAGGGTTGTTTGAATAAGTAACTTTTAATAAATTTTTCAATTTCAAAATTCGACATTTTTTTGAAAATGACCCATGTACTTAAATGGGTGGAAAATAATAATAATCGATATTTACTCTGCGTGGCTTTCCAAAGTAAAAAGGGAGGGTGGGGGTATATTTGTTTTATTCTGATTTCGACGAAAACATGACGACCAAAGGCAATTATTGGTTCTGATTGGTCATTTTCTTAATTTTCTCCAGCTCTGACACTTCAAAGCCATATTTTTCAGAATTCAGAACAGGGACAATGGTTGTTGGACCCTGCAAAAGATTCATTTTTTCGGGCATTTGGTTTTCTACTTTTTACGATGCAATAAAATTTAAATCTTTTGCAGTGCACCAAAGTGATTCTATATGACAAAAGGGTATATTGTCCTTTTACTCCACAGGCAAAATCGGATATTTTGTCTTAGTTCGGCGTTCGTCGTCTATAAACTGTTCACATTTTCGTCCGCTCATCTGAATAAGGCTAATTTGAGCCACACTTTACAAGAAGACAAATGTATGTTGATTTATATGTAAATAAAGAAAGATGTGAGGTGTACGTCAATGAGACATGCAGAAACTCAACAATACAAACAACCAACTGACATTGTTCTTCGTGCCGATCTAATAAGTCAATCCCGTTCGACAGCTTAAACATATAAACAATGAGAAACTAAATTGTCTTTATGGACAACTGTATCGGATGAACATTTGGAACATAAACAGTTTTAACAAGAAGAACGTGACAGGTATAAAATTTTGCTGACAACATCGAATCGATATCGACGGTTGATGTTGTGTTTGTTGCCACACATATAGTAAAAGATGCATATTGATACCGATACGATATCATCGATATCGAAACAACATCGTGTCTAAGATGACGGGATATATATTTTTGACACATAACTTTCATCTTGGTATTATACAGTTATAGCCTTTGTATGAGGTCGATATACGAGGTTATATCGACCTAAGAGAAGCATATGGACTGAGGACGAAGCCCGAGGTCGATATAATTCTTTAGGTCGATATAACATCGTATTGACCTCAACCTAAGGCTACAATTGTTATATTATCAATCAACAACTATTGCATGAACAATGTAAAAGTGGGGATTTCTAGAATGTAGTTTTAGTAACATATGCTGTATGCCCTGTACAATATGCTGTTTTTGACCTACGAAAAGCTAAACACAACAGTATTGGTGTGCAAACTGAGTAAATACAAATGTACATGTGATCAAGTTTTAATGAATCATAAATCCTTAAAAAAAATTCGATTAATAATATCAACTTATTTAAAGATATATATGTCACATATTTTTCAATACCCAATATTTTAATTATTCCAAGTTCCGAATTTTCTGCATGGCATGGTCAAGATTCCGTCATCACAGATGTCTAGGTCTTTGGCATAAATATCGCGTGGAAACAGCCGGTACCAACGCTGATTTGCGCTTTTAATAAAAGTTTTAATTCTATCAACCTGCCTTCAACTGTTAATTTTTGAAAGACTTCTATCGCACATCTCATTTATTTTATTCATAATAGATAATGAGTTTCTTTGTCCACTGCACGGTCGTCATGTGCTCTATACTATTAATACGATGACTGTTCTTAGTAACCCATTGTACATGATGGGATGTCAAATGTTTGGACGTCATGACTGGGTGAAAATAAGTCACTTACTTTGTCGATAGATGTATCCAGCTCTCAATATCATAACATCTTTATCCTCAACTTTCAACGAAGCCATACTTCATAATGTTTACCAAAAATAAATTGCCATTTTTGTTACAGTGTCTTAAACGTATTTCACTAATCATAACCTTATAACTGCTATTTGGATTAAGAGTTTAAATGAAAAGATTAATGGATATTGGTCATTTGGTCAATCTTTTAAACTGTGTTATATCATACACAACTAAATTAAAACAGTTTTCTAACTGCATTTACTTTTTGTTCATTTCGTTGACCCTTCTGTTGCAATACTCATGTTTCTTTCGTTTTTTCTGCCCCTATATATGCTAGACTAGAAACAGGTACTCTTAGTAAGTTATAGTTATTGACCAAGCAAGTCGGTATATATATGTCAATTAATCTGCACGGCTCGTGTGACCCGAACGACGTACTTTCACGGCACATACAGCTTACAACTGTTCTAATAACTGATCTAAAATTACTTTATATATGTGTTTAGATATGTTAATATTCTTAACATAATAAGAATTAACTGGTCATTCAAATATATGGACTTGGAGGTTTAGATTTACTTGTAATTTAGTCCTGCAGTTCCTATTAAACATCGTAGATATATATACATAGATAAAAAATGGAAGTATAAAATGATAAAACGTATATAAGGTCAATTGTTTGAAGCCTTTTGGCTAATATACAGTGGCGGATCCAGGGGGAAAAAGGGGGGGGGGGTGGTCCGGGGGTTGGAACCCCCCTTTTTCTTTGACGATCAATGAATTTGAATGGGGACATACAGTTGGAACCCCCCCCCCCCCCCTTTATCCTGGGTTAGGACCCCCCCTCTTTTATAAATGGCTGGATCCGCCCCTGATATTTATAATGATATTGTGGAAAGGGAGAGTGTTGGTACATGTATACTGCTTCCAGTTGTAAGATTGTGTTCATAAGAGCAAACACACCTTAAATAAAGTGAACGAAGCTGAAATAATGAAAACAACAAACATTTTATATAAAACTAACACAGTGAATAATAAAAGGAGGGTCAAATCCAAAACACCTGTGCAACAGTATTCATTTTACTAAGAAATATGTTAAATTATCATTTGTTTGGCGTGTGTGTAGAGGCGTTAACGAAATGAATAGTGGAGGTGTTAACAAATTAAATATCATTATGTCCCACACCTTATGTACATTACGTTTACCGGCCTCTCGAGACGGACAAGAGTCCTTGTGGCTACTATTGTTGGAGCTGTCCGTACGGACACAGACCAATCCATTTTAATGTGTGTGGTGTTTAGATACAAATCGGATCCACGTCAGATCAGGTTCATTGATCCCAAGAAAATACTTAATTGTAAATGGAGAAATTGTAGAAAAATAAAATTTACCACACTGAATGACTGTCATATATACAAGTGACACCCAACCACTTTCATCATACGAAAGTGCTTGTACCGAATCAAGACTATGCCAGTCAATCGCTATAATTGTTAAATACGGACTGTTTGAATATTGATTGGTGTTTAACGCCACTTTCAGCATTGTTGGCGAAATCGTGGCGGCAAGTTTGTATTGGTGGAGGAAGCCGGAGTGCCCGGAGAGAACCATCGACCTTCTGAAGGAAAACTGAATTAAGCTTTGAGTCGAGTTCACCTACCACTTGCAGGACTCGAGTTCACAACCTCCGTGTTGACAGGCTACTGATACAGTAGTTGAACTACTTCGACCACTTGGCTACCGAGACCCCTGACTGTTTGGTGAGATTTTCCCCAAAAAAATTGCAGTGGAAATAATTTATTAAGCATAAAGATTAAAGTGTGGTACCTTATTTGGCTTTTTTGGTTCGATATTTACAACTCAAACGATAGTTATTCCGATGTATTAGTCCCATTTCTTCAACTATTTTGAAGCATGCATTACAATTAGGCTGCATTTAACTATTGGTTCCATGTCGGAATTCAAAATGGATTCACTGAGAATTTCACATGCATCAGTAATACCGCCAAATTATTGGTATTCGTCACCTTAAAATCAGAAGATAGGTGATGGATTCATCCTCTAGACTAGGCATAAAAGGGATTACCTCCAGACCTTCTTGGTGGGCCAATACAGAATGTTCATTTGACATTTGACATGTTAAACCAGTGGATGAGTTTACTTCAATTTGTTATTTATTCCTCTTCAACTTTCAGTTTGTTATACAAAAACTCAGTGACAGCGGAGATCACTATTACTGAGTACATTTAATCTCAGGTGACAGACATGTATTTCACACTATGTCCATTTGATTATACAATATAGATCACCTATACCATACGTATAAACAGTAGAACACTATAAAAATAGAGAGATGTTTTTGTCTCGCATTGCAATTTAAATTAATCCCAATGCGGTTTTCATCGAAAAAAATCATGATTTTAGCGTTTTTTAAACCAACGCTTGACCGACAGTAACAGATAAAGCAAGAATTTATATAGTAATAGCTTACTAATAATTATATAAATCCTTGGTAAAGTTGCTTCTGTAGATGACATCATGTCTCTCCATTTTGGAAATGCAAGAACATTATATGTTTCGTAGCGTATGCTAAATTCATTGATCGGGGCTGAATAAGGGTTTTCGCATGACTTGTTTTTACAGCAGTCGCGTGCCATTTATTGAACCCTGAAAGATAAAGTTGCATGGCTGCGGAAAAAAATCAATAGTATTACGTGTAACAGTCATGCGTTAACCGTTTATGATTGACCTGAATATGATCTAGATAAAATAGTGAACTGATAAGACTAGTTATCAAGTCGAGGCAACGCATCGTTACACAGGAAGAAGTACAGTTATGGATGGTAAGTCAAGTGCATATTTTCGGTGCTTTGCATGACTGCTCCTTGTGCAAGTTGTGGACTTTGTGATCAGCTAATGTAATATCTGGATCTGACTTTTCCTCGAGGAACTCTGCAAAAAGATTAGCTTGTGCTATATCTTAGGAAAATATAATTAATTGCTTATCAAAGTCACTACTGCAGTGCAAATTGCAGATACTGTTATAACTACTCCAAAGGCAAAGCACCTGCAAAACAAGTATAAAAACTATGTTAGTTGAACGCTCAGTAGAGCCTACTTATATTATGTCTTTGTTTTGTAAACGTGCTGACTGTAGATAAAGCTAATTTATAATTATTATTCATTTAATACATGTAACTCAGAAGTACTTCATTCAACACAATAAACTTGATAGATCTGTTTGCTAAAAAAAAGGGGGGCAGGGGTGAGGGGTGTGGATCTTACAAGGAAATGCAGTGGCGGATCCAGAAATTTTTATACCCACTGACTGCCATAAGAGGGCCCCCCTACAGTCATGCTTAAGTGATTCCCTATATAATCTACCAAATTTTTCTCACAAAAGGGGGCTTCGCCTATGAAATGAGTGGTAGGGATCTGTCATATTTGTTTTTTTCATAAATTGTATTGTATAAATTAAGCTGTTAGTTTTCTTGTTTTCTTGTTTCATATTTTTCATTTAGGGGCCTTTTATAGCTGAGTTTTTCTCATTGTTGAAGGCATACAGTGACCTATATTTGCTTTTATCTTTGTCTGGTGGATAGTTGTCTCATTGGCATTGGTACCACATATCCTTATTTTTTTTTTACAATGTACTGTCGGAATAGGTCACTATTTCAAACTTCATGCTGTATGATAAAGTAGAGAAATTAAGATGAAATATATGACAAGGTTGCTGATTGAATCATGAGTATTCATAACTAATCAAATATTGCTTTTCTCAGATTTAATTAAAACCACAGTAGAAAATGCATCAGATATTTTTTAAATCTATTTATCTCTCCATGAAATAGCTAAATAAGTATAGCTGCAAGTATGTGTTGTGTCAAAAAATGTATGATAGGGTATGTTTTTCTGTTAATCCAAATATGTGAAAAATACAGGGTACTTTAATTGTTTTTAAAGTTTTCTCCTTGAAAAAATATAGTAGATCTGTATAGGAATTCCTTTCTATTTTGCTAATTTTTTTACCTTGAGTATATGGGTATATCTGCAATTTTTTCACAATATAAAAAAACCAAGTGACTAATAAAACTTAAGGGTAGGCATTTTGAGGCTTGAAATATATACATGGATATGTAAATAAACACTTAACACAAGTTTTTCTTGTTTCCGTTCTCTAACTTCAGTTTGCCTCCACCAAATATTATGAAACTGATTCACAAAGCTTATTACCATCACACACAGTTCAAGGTTGAGTTTTGGTGGCATCACTTTCTCTGTTACTGAGTTTTGTCCCTTTATAAATGGAAAAATATGCAGTTTCAGCACTCTAACTTTACTTTTCCTCAACAAAATATTATGAAACTTATACACAATGCTTATGACCAAAAACACAGATCAAGATTGACTTTGACTGGTGTCACTTTCACCGTTCTCTTGTTACCCATCACTGTTTGTAACTGAACAATGTGAGAACTCAAACTCTGAGCATTGAATCTCTATTGACAACAAACAGAAACAAATGTAATTAAGTTTCAACGAAAGCAAAATGTCAGTAGGTTTGACTTAGTTCCTAGACTCTTGCATATTTACAAGCAGGGGCATCTCTGTCCCATGGACACATTTTTCTTTTATTTGTGTTATGGCTTAAACTATAGTAGATAGAGAGAAACTTTTAAGCAGCAAAAATGATCAGGAAAATAAGATCAGACAATAAAAATAAGTCAACATGACCAAAGTCAACAATTGACTCTCTAAAGGAGATCTATATTGCCCTTGAATGACACTTTGCTTTCACATTTTTGACAATTATCTTGAGACTTTTAAAATAGATTGAAAGAAATTATAAACAACAAAATTAATAAGAAAAACAAAATCTACAAATATTTCAGTATCATTGAACTTGTCAATCAACACCTTATGGGAGTAACTTCCCCTAAATGAAAATTTTGTACCAATTTAACCCTTTTTGGGATAATGTTGACTGCACAGTCAAAGGTCAAGCCTAAGGGCAAGAGTCTGAGTCAATACTATAATAATTAAATTCATTGAGCAAATTTGACCCAATTTGGTTTTAATAATAATTGTCAAATTTGATTACCATGAAGAAATTAATAATAAAGGATGCATTTAATTTATTTTCAAGATCAGCAGTGAAAGGTCAAGCTGAGGTTCAAGACAAAACCTTATCAGTAGGATATAGAGAAACCTGTTTTAGCTAACTTATCAAATTTGGTATACTTAAGAGGGGATGGCTACTGTTGATTTTGAAGTTCTCAGGTCAAAGGTCAAGCATGGTCAAGATCCAGACTGACAATTCCATTGCACGGGTACTTTTTATCAGACTTTGTACTAGTATACTTGATTCCCATTGGGAGAGAATGACCCTATTTATTATTAGGGTAAGGGTGAAAGCTGATATTAAGAGCCTGTGTCAAAACTATGTCAACCTGATACAGACTGAACCACTTTGTCAAACTTTGAATGTATGTACTGAAGTTTGATATTCCTCATTATCATGTAAGAAACTTAATTGGGCAAAAGAGTAAGAGGCAATTCTATGAAACAGTAGCTTAAATTATATATAATTAGGGGGGATTAATCTGCTTAAGTTGCAGAGCCTTATTTAAAGTACAGTTCAAGCAATATGATTCTTAGTTTTTATACGACCCCGTATATTGGTATGACGTTGTCGTCGTCCGGCGTAGTCCGAAGACACATTGGTTTTCGCACTCTAACTTTAGTTTAAGTGAATGGATCTCTATGAAATTTTACCATAAGGTTCAATACCACAAAAAGAAGGTTGGGATTGATTTTGGGGGTTATGGTACCAACAGTTAAGGAATTAGGGGCCAAAAATAAGCATTTTTGTAACTTCCAGACATAACTTGTGTGTTAGTGTATGGATCTCTCTGACATTGTACTACAAGGTTCCATATCACACAGGGAATGCTGGGATTGATTTTGGGGGTAATTGCCTCGAAATATTAGGAATTAGGGGCCAAAAAAGGGGCAAAAAACAAGCATTTTTCTAGTTTCATGACAATAACTTGTGTGTAAGTGTATGGATCTTTCTGAAATTGTACTACAAGGTTCCATATCACAAAGGGAAAGCTGGAATTGAGTTTGGGGGTAATTGCCCAAAACGTTTAGGAATAAGGGGCCAAAAAGGGGCCAAAAATAAGCATTTTTCTAGTTTCCAGACAATAACTTGTGTGTACGTGTATGGATCTCTCTGACATTGTACCACAAGGTTCCATATTACAAAGGAAAGGCTGGAATTGATTTTGGGGTAATTGCCTCAAAATATTAGGAATTAGGGGCCAAAAAAGGGCCAAAAAACAAGCATTTTTCTAGTTTCATGACAATAACTTGTGTGTAAGTGTTTGGATATTTCTGAAATTGTTCTACAAGGTTCCATATCATAAAGGGAAAGCTGGAATTGAGTTTGGGGGTAATTGCCCGAAACGTTTAGGAATTGGGGGCCAAAAAGGGGCCAAAAATAAGCATTTTTCTAGTTTCCAGTCAATAACTTGTGTTCAAGTGTATGGATCTCTCTGAAATTGTACTGCAAGGTACCATACCACAAAGGGAAGGCTGGGATTGATGATGGGGGTAATTGCCTCAATATTTTAGGAATTAGGGGGCCAAAAAGGGACAAAAAACAAGCATTTTTGTAGTTTCAGGACAATAACTTGTGTGTAAGTGTATGGATCTTTATGAAATTGTACTACAAGGTTCCATATCTCAAAGGGAAAGCTGGGTTTGAGTTTGGGGGTAATTGCCCTAAAGGTTTAGGAATTTGGGGCCAAAAAACATATTTTTCTAGTTCCAGACAATAACTTGTGTTCAAGTGTATGGATCTCTCTGAAATTGTACTGCAAGGTACCATACCACAAAGGGAAGGCTGGGATTGAGTTTGGGGGTGATGAATCATAAGGGGGTTCAAAAATTTGGGGGTGGGATTTTTTTTTTTTTTTCCTTTTTTCTTTCTTGTAAAATTTTCCATTTTAAGTTGGTTATTTCTGATTTATATTTAAAAGCAAATAATAATGATATGGTAGGAGATACACACCAAACAGGATGTGTAAATTATTATATAATAAGTATTGTGCAATAGCAAAAAAATTTCAATTGCACAGTATTGTACAATAGCAAGAAATCTTCAATTGCACAGTATTGCGCAATAGCAAGAAATCTTCAATTGCACAGTATTGTGCAATAGCAAGAAATATCCAGTAGCACAATATTGCGCAATAGCAAGAAATTGTCAATTGTACAGTATTGCGCAATAGCAAGAAATATTCAATTGCACAGTATTGTGCAAAAGAAGATACTTCCTATAATTTGCTTATTTCTTGACCAATTTCAATGGGGTTTTATTCTTGAATTCTTTGGGTTCTTTAATATGCTGAATCTAACCATGTATTAAGTTTTTGGATTTTGGGCCCCGTTTTTAAATTGGTCCACATTGAGGTCCAAAGGGTCCAAAATTAAACTTTGTTTGATTTCATCTAAAATTGAATTATTGGGGTTCTTTGATATGCCGAATCTAACCGTGTATTTAGATTCTTAATTTTTGATTCCATTTTCAAATTGGTCTACATTAAGGTCCAAAGGGTCCAAAATTAAACTCAGTTTGATTTTAACAAAAATTGAATTCTTAGGGTTCTTTGATATGCCGAATCTAAACATGTATTTAGATTTTTGATTATGGGCCCAGTTTTCAAGTTGGTCCAAATCGGGGTCCAAAATTAAACTTTGTTTGATTTCATCAAAAATTGAATATATGGGGTTCTTTGATATGCTGAATCTAACCATGTATTTTGATTTTTGATTTTTGAGCCCTGTTATCAACTTTGTCCACATTGAGGTCAAAAGGGTCCATAATTAAACTTTGTTTGATTTCATCAAAAATTGAATTCTTGGGGTTCTTTGATATGCTGAATCTAACCATGTATTTAGATTTTGGATATTGGACCATAATAGGTGAATGTCCAATTTAAAATTTTTAAGTTCTTAGACCACATTCATTCTGTGTCAGAAACCTATGCTGTGTCAAATATTTAATCACAATCCAAATTCAGAGCTGTATCAAGCTTGAATGTTGTGTCCATACTTGCCCCAACTGTTCAGGGTTTGACCTCTGCGGTCGTATCAAGCTGCACCCTGCGGAGCATTTTATTATAACATGTACCTACATGTATCACCATCAAATCAAGGATTGTCAAGAACAGGTTCCATCAAGATTCAAGGGATGTGAACTTGTTCCCCTCCTCCTTCCTATCCCAGTTTTTCTTGCTAAATAATAAGGAAATTTGATTCATTTTTATACACCCATCAAATTTTTGACGGGACGTATTATGATATACAAATGTCCGGCATCCGTCTGTCTGTCTGTCCGTCTGTCTGTCCGGCGTAAATATGTCGCACCATAACGTGAGAATGACTTATCCAAATTTCATGAAACTTAACATAGTTGTTTCTTATGATGGTCAAACGATCTGTATACTTTTTGGTGAAAATAAGATTAAAACTTTTTGAGTTACGGGACTTAGTAACTAAAACAGGTGTGTGTTTTTTTTCACATGGCGCGCCGTATCTCAAAAACAATTTATGATTATTGCTTAAAACTTTACACACTTCTTAGTTATATTAATCTTAAGATCTGTATACTTTTTGGTGATGATTCAAAATTTTATTTTAGAGATATTGAGTATTTTGTTAAAAAAGGGGGAGGGGTTTTTCACATGTCGCGCCGTATCTCAAAAACAGTTTATGATTATTGCTAAAAACTTTACACACTTCTTAGTTATATTAATCTAAAGATCTGTATACTTTTTGGTTTTGATTCAAAATTTTATTTTAGAGATATTGAGTTTTTTGTAAAAAAAAAAGGGTTTTTTCGCATGTCACGCCGTATGTCAGAAACTATTTATGCTTATTGCATAAAAATTCATACATAAGACGACGGGCGTATCATGCCCTCATGGCGCAGCTGTTTATTATGTCTGGCCTTAATCTGTTACTGATATAATGTAGGTAGATTAAGTGCCAATCTGCCTAAGAATCAGGCAGTGGTGAAAACCAAACAAAAACCCGCCCAGCTTTACATTAATTTAAGTTCAGAATGTATAATGATGCATGAATATAACATTCGTTTCCTTTCCCTGTTCTGGTAATTCAAGATATAATTTGGTTGAAATGCACTAGAAGTTAACAATTAAGGGGAGATAACTCTGTAATTGCTATCATTCTAACCAAAATTTATCTAGATATTTCTCAAATTACCAGACACGCAGAAACAAAAGACCTACCATTTCTAGCTCAGGATGAGGGTACCTTAAAATAGGGTGGTTAGGTTGGTGGGTTTTTTTGGCCATGTTTTGATTTTTTTTCAAAAAAAAAAAAAAAAAAAAAAAATTGCCTGATTCTTACAAAGACTGGCACTTAAATCAAAGCTATTATTTTAGAAATAAGAATATTTGAAATTTAAGTGATTTATACATATAATTTACACCAAGATGTCATTAATGTATTTGATATCCTGCATGATCATGCTTTTCCATAACATTAGGTCAAACTGCCCTCCTTTATAACTTTGAAATTTAAACTTTTGCATTAACCATTATATATTGGTACAATGTATGAATTATATACATCCACTCATGGGTGTATCTAATACTTGTAATTATTTAAAGTATGTCTTCATATCTGTAAAAGTATTTTTTGTCATTTGCACTGATTTTAAATAATCAATGGATGATTAAGGGAACTAGCTATCAGGGAACCAGTTATCTGATCTGTGATTTACATCTCTTTCAATCATCTCTCACTAAACTTTATTACCCTAAAAATTAATTAAAGGTTTTCTTGTTCTCTGATGAAAATTCATTACTTTGACTTGTGTTTGATGTTGGTAACATGTTACCAGAGCGTGAATTGTCAAGTTCCGCTGACTGCCTTCGTGATTTGGTTGGCTAGGTAACATACACAGATGTCATAGCCAAGAGCCAAGATGCATCCATCATTTCTCAGCTAATGGATTTTTCCTTCATTCTGTTTTATCTCAGTTCACTGACTTGTATATTTGCCCTTAATGACTTTGAAGTTATTACAGTTTTTTTCTTGATTTCGAAGCTTTTTTTTGTAAAAACAACATACATAATTAAAATGTACTTATATAACACTGGTTAGATTTCTGAATTGTAAAGATGTACTTTTTTGTATCTCTTATTGTATCCATACTTGGTGTATAACTTGGGATTTTGTATTTTTTAGTAGGTAAATTTACATCTTTTTTAAAGGATGTTCGCTACTCTGTTACAAAATAACAAGCATTTGAAAAGATTGTTATAAATTGAGAGTATATAAATAAAGGAACTAAAAATGCAGAAAAAAATGAAGGGTATGTGTGCTTGTTTTTCGAAATATAAGCCATTGAAAATTTGGCGGGAAGTGATTCTCTCTAGATTTTTCATACATTTAACATTGGCACCTTTTTAGCTCACTGTTCAGAAGGAACTGTGAGCTTTTGCCATCACTTGGCGTCCGTCATCGTCTGTCGTCATCCGTCGTCGTCCGTCTGGTGTAAACTATTTCAAACATCTTCTCCTCTGAAACTACTGAACCAATTCCAACCAAACTTAGGCTGAATGATGCTTAGGGTATCTAGAATAAAGTTTGTGTTTTATTTATTGTTTCGTAAAATAGCATGGCCGCCATGGCTAAAAATAGAACATAGGGGTAAAATGTAGTTTTTGGCTTATATCTCAAAAAACAAAGCATTTAGAGCAAATCTGACATGGGGTTAAAGTGTTCATTAGGTGAAGTTCTATCAGCCCTGAAATTTTCAGTTGAATCTGATAACCCATTGTTAGGTTCCTGCCACTAAATTGGTAATTTTAAGGAAATTTTGCAGTTTTTATACGACCGCAAAAAAATTTTGAGGTCGTATATTGGTATGACGTTGGCGTCGTCGTCTCCCGAAGACACATTGGTTTTCGCACTCCAACTTTAGTTTAAGTGAATGGATCTCTATGAAATTTTATCATAAGGTTCAATACAACAAACAGAAGGTTGGGATTGATTTTGGGGGTTATGGTACCAACAGTTAAGGAATTAGGGGCCAAAAAGGGGCCAAAAATAAGCATTTTTGTAACTTCCAGACATAACTTGTGTGTTAGTGTATGGATCTCACTGACATTGTACCACAAGGTTCCATATCACAAAGGGAATGCTTTGATTGATTTTGGGGGTAATTGCCTCAAAATTTTAGGAATTAGGGGCTAAAAAAGGGGCAAAAAACAAGCAATTTTCTAGTTTCATGACAATAACTTGTGTTTAAGTCTATGGATCTTTCTGAAACTGTACTACAAGGTTCCATATCACAAAGGGAAAGCTGGAATTGAGTTTGGGGGTAATTGCCTAAAACGTTTAGGAATAAGGGGCCAAAAATAAGCATTTTTCTAGTTTCCAGACAATAACTTGTGTTCAAGTGTATGGATCTCTCTGAAATTGTACTGCAAGGTTCCATATCACAAAGGGAATGTTTGGATTGAGTTTGGGTGTAATTGCCCAAAACGTTTAAGAATAAGGGGCCAAAAGGGGGCCAAAAATAAGCATTTTTCTAGTTTCCAGACAATAACTTGTGTTCAAGTGTATGGATCTCTCTGAAATTATACTGCAAGGTACCATACCACAAAGGGAAGGCTGGGATTGATTTTGGGGGTAATTGCCTCAAAATTTTAGAAATTAGGGGCAAAAAACAAGCATTTTTCTAGTTTCAGGACAATAACTTGTGTGTAAGTGTATGGATCTTTATGAAATTGTACTACAAGGTTCCATATCACAAAGGGAAAGCTGGGTTTGAGTTTGGGGGTAATTGCCCTAAATGTTTAGGAATATGGGGCCTAAAAGGGGCCAAAAACAAGCATTTTTCTAGTTTCCAGACAATAACTTGTGGTCAAGTGTATGGATCTCTATAAAATTGTACTGCAAGGTACCATACCTCAAAGGGAAGGCTGGGATTGAGTTTGGGGGTGATGAATCATGAGGGGTTCAAAAAATTTGGGGGAGGGGATTTTTTTTTCTTTAAAATTTTCCACTTTAAATTGGTTATTTCTGATTTATATATATAAGCAAATAATAATGATATGGTTTGAATAGGTAAACTAAAGCTCTTAGGCCACATTCATTCTGAGTCAGAAACCTATGCTGTGTCAAATATTTAATCACAATCCAAATTCAGTGCTGTATCAAGCTTGAATGTTGTGTCCATACTTGCCCCAACTGTTCAGGGTTCGACCTCTGCGGTCGTATCAAGCTGCGCCCAGCAGGAGCATGTTATTGGTTATTATCTTGAATATTATTAATGATAAAGATAAACTGTGAACAGCAAAAATGTTCAGCAAGGTAAGATCTACAAATAAGTTCATATAATGACCAAAATTGTCAATTGACCCCTTAAGGAGTTATTGCCCTTTAAGGACAATTTTACACAATTTGTTTATCATGTTTTCTAACTTTAAAAAATCTTCTCTGAAACTACTGAACCAATTCCAACCAAACTTAAGCTGAATGATTCTAAGGGTATCTAGAATAAAGTTTGTGTTTTATTTTCTGTTTCGTAAAAAACGTGGCTGCCATGGCTAAAAATAGAACGTAGGGGTAAAATTCAATTTTTGGCTTATATCTCAAAAACCAAAGCATTTAGAGCTAATCTGATGAGAGGTAAAAATATTTATGAGGCCAAGCTTTGTCAGCCCTGAAATTTTCAGATGAATCTAACAACCCATTGTTGGATTGCTGCCACTTAATTGGTAATTTTAAGGAAATTTCGCAGGTTTTGGTTATTATCTTGAATATTATTAATGATAAAGATCAACTGTAAACAGCAAAAATGTTCAGCAAAGTAAGATCCACAAATAAGTTTTGTATGACCAAAATTGTCAATTGTCCCCTTAAGGAGTTCAATAATTTCCCTTTAAAATAAATTTTTCACAATTTGTTCATTTAGTTTGCTTACTTTAAAAAATCTTCTCCTTTGAAACTGCTGAATCAATTTCAGCCAAGCTTGGGCTGAATGAGTTTCAGAGTATCTAGTATAAATTTTGTATTTTATTTTCTTGTATGTCAAGAAACATAGCCACTATGGCTAAAATGAAACATAGGGGTAAAATGCATTTCTTTGATTTTGAAGAAAATATGACAGATACAAAGAACATTTCAATGGAAGTTTTATGCCACTCATTAATATATATTGAAAAGCAAAAATAATCATTGATGAAAGATTTAAGCAAAAAATTACAGGTGAGCGATTCAGGCTCTTGAGAGCCTCTTGTTTCTTTCACAAACTATGAAAAAATAACACGAATTTTAGAAGATTTTCAAATATGGCTTTTTAAACTTTATGTAATAAAACTATGAAAAGAAAAGTAGGGGTTAGTGGGTATTTTTTTTAATGGCACTAGGAGGATAAAACCAGAGGACTCTGAATATCTGGCAAAAAATCATAAACAAGAGGAGCGAACATCCTTAAATTACCATAGGTGTTTAAAAGTTCTTATTTATATTCTGTTCTATACCAATGTACTTTTAATTGAAAGTTAGCAAATAACAGTTAATCAATCAGTCATACCTTACTGACAGACATCCCTACATCCATCAAATTTTCATCATATTTTTATCAGGAACTACAAACTGGCCTGCAGCCATGAAGTCTCTTAGGAGGGTTATTTGGGGCCATGAGGCTCTGACTTTAATAGTCAAACTATAATCATAATCTAGACATACAAAGTTTTTAATAGTTTTTTAGGGGGCTAGTAGGGGTGCACCAAAACCTCCCTGACTGAGGGTTTGACAAATTATCGATTATAAGCATTTTTTGTTACCAAAGAATTTTCCGATGAAATTATTCTCTGTTGCTCAACATGAAATCCATGTTAAGTTTGCCAAAATTATATGTACGTCTTTTAAATATATATGTAATGTACATGTATTAACTTGATTCACAATTCTCTCAGCGACTATGAATCAGAGCTTCATAATATGTATAACTGAACAAAATCTGTACCATGAATGACCTTGAGGTCAAATAAAAAAAGACCACAATTTATATTATGTCATGATGACATAGGTAAACTTTGGCAAGTGTTTGGAAACTAAAAAAATTAGAATTTTGATGTATGGATATGCAGCCTAATCTTAAAAAATTCTTACAGATTATGTTTACTGAAATGTTCATAAATTACTAGTAATATTTTTGTAAAGAGTTGCAGACATTTAATATTATCATTTATTTTCAACCTTCTTCATATTAACAAATACTACCATAGCGTTATGGTACATAAACCTTAAGCTATACTGTCTTACCCTATGTTAGGGCAATTAGAAAGTCATCTAGTCCTATAAACGCCTAAATTTTCCAGTAATATCATAATGTTAGGAGTTAAATTTCCCTTTCTTTAAAATTGAACTGATTGCCTGTGGTAAGTAAAACATTTGTTAGAAGCAGCTATTCACAGTTAATTTTCATGTTATATTTAGTTTATATAAATGTCTGAACTACATATGGTTTTATTGTCTCGCCTGCAATGAAAATCGCAGAATGCAAGACATAGGGATTACTTATCTGGCAGCATAAACTATTTGTATAAAGCTTTATGATTTAAAAGGTAGAAGACCTGGATGCGTCAAACCTTGTATGCAGATGCCTTATGTTACGAAGTTTCTGTCTTTTATATGTCTAGTGTCCTTGACCTCATTTTCATGGTTCATCTACTGCTTATAAAAAATTTATAGTATTTTTTTTGTCATGTGAAATACTCACTTATCATGAGTAATAGGATAACTATATTTGGTATATGGGATCCTTGCAAGGTCTACATGTCTGTCAGACAGGGTTCATTTGACCTCGATCTCATTTCATTGATCAGTGATCAAGGTTTAGTTTTCGTTGAGAAGTCCATATCTCAGATACTACATGAATTAGCAACAGTGCTTGAAGATATTGATTTGATATTTGGTGTATTGTTTTATCATTTTATCATGACAAATTACAGATCAAGCTCAAATTTTGTTCCGGTCTGACGATTTTGTGCAGAGTTATGGTCCTTGGACTTAGAAAATTCACTCAAATAATCAGTTTTTCTCACTTTTTTTTTGTCATGCTTGAAGATATCGATGTAATGATTGGTATATAGTTTTATCATGACAAGTTACAGATCAAGTTTGAATTTTGGTCTGGTCTAATGATTTTGTGCAGAGTTATGATCCTTGGACTTAGAAAATTCACTCAAATAATCAATTTTCCACATTTTTTTTCGTCATGGTTGAAGATATTGACTTGATATTTGTTATATATAGTTAACACCTTGACAAGCTATAGATCAAGTTAGTATTTTGTTCCAGAACAATGAATTTTAACCAGTAGGGGACTATGTATTGCCAGGCAATACTCACAGAATGCTTGTTATGTATATAGGAATTTTAATACAAAAAATTTTTCACTTCAATGTAGTACAGAACTTAAGCCCATTTTATAATTTTTTATCTGTTTTCCTATTTTTAGTATAAAAGCTGTTAAAGTATTTACAGACATTGAAAGCTGGAAATGCAGTACAATTTTTTAGGAAATCTGTTTGAACAGTATGCAGCTTGAGACAACAGATCTCAATAAGTCATTTGACATAACTCTCAAGTCATATATTTATACATTCTTTTTTATCTGTACTATAAACCGATGAATGCATGCAGTTACAGGGATTGAAGTAAGAATTTAGCCCACAGCTTAAATTTTGGTAGCCAATATACAAGTTCTATACAAGAAAAAAAAATTTCTAGTAGTCCACACCAAATTTTAAGGGCCATTGGTGAGTGGACCCCTGCTAATTTCAAACCCTGCAGTTGTAGTATTTTCATTTTAACTAGGTTCCTTTTCATCAACCTATTTTAGTAATCGAAATACAATTAAAAAGTAAACAATGATTACATCATAATTTTTCTGCAATCGATTAAATTATGATTATATGTAATCAAAAATGTAGTCGATTACAGATTAATGTTGATTACTTGAAAATATGTAATCAATTACAATTGATTACGATTGCAGTTACAATACCCAATCCCTTATTAGCAATAGGTCAACTGCATTTGGTGTATGGAATGATCATAAGGTAAATATGTCCAACTGGCAGGTTTCATCTGACCTTGACCTCATTTTTATGGTTCAAAGTATTTTTTTTCCAATTTGGTCTATATCTTAGATACTTCAAGCAATAGGGCCTCTATATTTGGTGTAAGGAATGATTATAAGATGTCCATGTCTGTCTGGCAGGGTTCATCTGACCTTGACCAAAAGGTTTACTATATTTTGTTTATTATATAATAGTAAGGTGTACCTGTCTGTCTGCAGGGTTCATCTGACCTTGACCGTGACCTCTTTTTCATGGATCATTGATAATATTAAGTTTATGTGATACTTGAAGTAAAACCTTCATTTACAAACTTTCACTATTAATTCAATCATGATAAGTAAAGCAGGAGAGACATTTTCAGCATGTGCACTCTTGTTTCTCCCAAAATACTTTTAACTCAATATTTAATTCAGAAGATATGGTATGAGACAACTATCCCCCAGATACCAAATGATGTAGATACATGTATTAGCAATTATAGGTCAAAGTACAGCCTTCAACAATGAGCAAAACCCATACTGCAAGGCAAGCTATAAAATGCCCCCAAATGACAAAATGTAAAAAATTTCAAATAAGAACGGCCTGATTTATGTGCAAACTCCATTATAAAGCTGAAAATAAAGCAGATTGAAGTAAAAACCCAT